AGAGGGGCCCAGGGAGAGACTTTCACAGATGGAGAGTCAAAACCACCTTAGCTTCACCATAGTCGGAAATGGTACTCTCAGACCAAAATTTGATTAATATTTTCTTTTTTTCTCAATTTCTTTTATAATTTTGAAAAATTTAGTGTAAAGTTATAACAGGTGTACATTTATTAATTGTAAGTCTATAAACTAGGATATATGGCTCTGACATAAACCAGAGCTGTGATAGAGAGAACGTCAATGACCAAGGGTCATTGCCGACCAAATCAATTGAGATGGTCCCGAACACGACAGCAAAAGAGTGTCAGTGGTGGCTCCAGAAATCTGCTGGTGTGTCCGTCCGACCGACCGAGAGCATCGGTCAAGGTCGTCCAGGTAAAATTTGTGAGCATTTCTCTAGAAGGGTGGGTATAAAAATCGGTCAGAGAGCTAGAGCCAAAGTGAATTTTTTATTTAACACCGAGGGCCGCACCTAAATTTTGATGGTTCCAGTGTGTTTCCAAAAAACCTTCATCCGCTGCTTTTATACCAAATTATTCTCAATTTTAATATTACTTTTTACAGATGATTGGTTTCGGGCCTTAAAAAAACTAGACATTTCCTTGCTAAAGATGGTTAGAGGGCCGCAAACATAGGGTTTTATTTCGTTTTCCCGGACCGCAAAAATATCACTGTCGGGCCGCACTTGGCCCACCTGTGTGCTAGATGGTGTCTTACTGACCATCATCTTTATCTGGTTCTGTACCAGGTTTTGTTTCAGGGTCAGGTTCATTGTCAGGGTCAGTATATTAGGCTCAGGCAGTGGCATCTAAAAATCTCGAAATTGGGGGGGGGGGGCGCCAAAGGTGAGCTGGGGGCTCGATGATTAAATAAGGAGTGCTAGCTCACAAATGAAGTTGTAAGAGGTGATTTTTATTTACTACACCACCCCCACCAATGTTGGTTTCAAATAAACTGTAATGTTGTCTCATCCTTCAACTTGACAATATCAGGTAGATTTATCACTGCCCTATATCTTGCCTAGTTATTGTTTCTAATCATGCTTCTTGTACCGCGGTGTACGGCCCTTTTGACGGGATATGTCACCGAAACAACAACAAATGGCGGTGAAAAACTCAAATGGCAGCGCAAACTACAGTGCTAAACTCAAACCAATTGGCGGCAAAAAACTTTTGTGCCACTAATCTAGTTTTTGCTGCCACGAGTTTTGCACTGCTGCCCTTGAGTTTTGTACTGCTGCCCCTTGCGTTTTGCACTGTGCCATGTGCCACTTGTGATTTGTCCATTTGGCGTTCCATAGCACTTTGATATCTGGCCAAATCCATTTGCCGAAACCTAGTTTGCCGAACGTCAATTTAAAAGATTCTTCTTCTTATCGAGTCACTACGTAGCT